AGGAGACAGGCTTGCTTAGTATTTTTAACAAAAAGATGATTTTGATGATTTATCCTTGTGGGTTACACAAATATTGATAGTACTCAGATTCACATACATGTCATGTATAATATCACATGATGACTCATGCACTGTTCCCTCGGTGTAAAAATGTTTCACTTATGATCAGACCAGAGTATGTATGTATCATGAAACATTTGTTTGTTATCTGATTTATTTATTTGAAGGGATATCATCAGAAATGCAGTGAATGCCAGTGAAAGTGACTCTGTGATATTTGTCGGTAGTGGAGTGACAGGAGCCATTCATAAGTTGATTCATGCACTGGACTTTAATGAACCTCCCGTAAGTACTCAATTTACAGCATTGCCTTATCACTTATACTGATTTTTAAACGTGAAGACATTCAACCTACACCAATGCAAAGATGTGTGGAATTCATTAGCTTGATGTCATCCTCGGAGACCCAGGGACAGATAGTGGGGGTGAGGGAAAGTCTAAACGAGTGGGAAAATATGGCACAAAGAAAAGTAAAGAACGGCGAGAAGAGCCCCTGGAGACAATGTCTTACCAGACCAGTTCCAAACGGTCGCCGCCGTTCTGCCTTCTGATTGGGCAGAAAAACACAGTTTTCTGGCACCAATCAGAAGTCAGAACGGCGTCGACCATTTTGGAACTAGTCTGGTAAGACATTTTCCCCAGGGGCTCTTCTCGCCGTTCTTTACTTTTCTTTGTGCCATATTTTCCCACTCGTTTAGACCTTCCCTTGCCCCCACTATCCGCCCCTGGGTCTCCGAGGATCATTGGCTTGATGTTGGACTCATGCAAGTTTCCTTTCATGCAATGTACTTACATTTACTTCTACTGTGTGCTTCTTGGTTAAAAAAAATACTGGTAATTAGTGATGGCCACCCTGTTAGCTCAGTTAGAAAAGCACCACTTTACCAGACAAGAGGTTGCAGGTTCAAACCCTGGTCATATATATTACGCCAATATTTATTTTTTTGTAATTTCCATATTACTTCATTTTTGACAGAATTACATGTATTTCAGAGCTGCAAATAACTTTTCGTTGTTGGAATGACGTGCACACTGTATGTGTTCTGGTTCAATTTTATCCAGGGATCAAATTTTATTTTCCTTTGTTTCAAACTCATTATCATATATTACCATACCCCAAAACAAAGGAAAAGATAATTGAAACCATGCAAGGACAAAATTGAACCACATATGTGTCCAGCTAAGTCACCTTCTTAGTCAATAAAGCAAAAAATGTGGCCTGACTCAATCAAGGGTGGATTATTGGAAAACTGTGCATTGTAGACCCAGGATTTGCAGAAATGCTGATAACTGCCATATATTCACTGCAATTATGTTACTTTGTTGGTGCAACAATGTCCTCAAGGTAGAATTTTATTCACCTGCAATATGATAGTCTCTTAATTTGTTGTGTTTGTTCAGACATCACGTCTGACCACAGTGAAGATTTCATCAGAAATGGGCCAGTTTTAGTCAAACATTGTCTGATGAATAACCAACTTTATTTGCAGCTCTGCATTTAGATAAGAGCTAAAGAAAACTTCATTACCATGATTATTTCTGGAAATGTAAGGTAACAACATTCTTCTCTTTGATAAGGTGGTACTTGTGGGACCATTTGAACACCATTCAAATCTTCTCCCCTGGAAGGAATTAGGTGCTGAGGTATGAAAATGTATTTTGAAATACTTTAATGTCAATTTTAAATCCACTTTAAGTGGTTCTAAACCTTTTATTAATGGTAGGTTATCTGGATCAAGCAAGATGCAAAAGGGTTAGTTGACCTCACAGATTTGGAGTTTAAACTCAAGGTATGCAACATGGTAAAAACAATAATCATTAATTGAGGTAAATTCAACAACTTTCCTTTATGAAATTCAATAAAAAATGCTGTAGACAACAGTGCTCGACTTTCAGAAAAAAATCTTGGGGCCAGGTGGCCCCCAAGTTTTCTTTTTTGGTCGCCAGAACAAGTATTCTAGTCGCCAAAAATCATATTATTTTAAGAACTAATTGCGTTCGAGGTACGAGAACGCAACCCCTAATTTGTGTCGGGTGTTCTGTGCATTATTGGGTCCCCTGTGCAATAAATAAGGGAAGTTTTTCGAGATTGCATTTGTCGTGGTCGCGACACACATTTTCCTCGCTTTGAGGCGCTTGATTACGTTTTGCCTCACTTTGACGAACTAACTCACGTGGTGATTCGTGGGTCCTCAAGCGTTTGCTGAGG